TCCGGCTTCCTGCTCATGCGCACTCTGAGGGGAACAGGTGAAGGCTTAAGTCCGTAATCCCTGCCACCCATGCGAGGGGCCTGGATTGTGTTCCAGGCGCCTGGCTTTGGGCTGGCTCAGTCCTGCCTGTTGTCGGTATTTGGAGAATGAATCAGTGGGTGGAAAATCAAGCTCTCAACATTAAAAAGCCAACAATCCACTTGTAAAATATATGCACTCTGGGAGGGGAGTTGAAGAGGATGTATAGGTAGCAAATGGCTCACGAAATGCGCCCAGCATCACTGCACACCCGTTAGAACAGCCAGAATGAAAAACGCGGACGATACCACAATTCTGGTGACGGTCAGAACAGCTGTGTCTCTTGTACACTGCTGATGAGAATACACAATGATACAGTCTTGGCAATTTCTTAAGAAAACTAGAAACACCCTACCCACAATTGTTCACAGCAGGTTTATTTGTAACAGACAAACACTAGTACAACCGAGAGCTCTCAGCAGGTGAGTGGCTGAATGTACTGCGGAACAGCCTCCAGCCACGTCGAGCCCGTCTCCGAGGGCCGCAGTCTTAGTGACTCCACGCACCAACGTGCTCGATGCATCGCAGAGATGGAGAGAGAATGGAGGTTGCGCGGAGGAGACAGGAGTGGGTGAGACTGCGGAGGGGCAGCCCGCGGGAGCTCTTTACGGTTGATGGCCGCAATGCTGTGTCTCGGTGCCTCGGTGGCGACGCAGTGGCAGAACCACATGCGTGCGTCATGCAGCGCCAGGTTTCTGGTCTTGACGTCAGGCTGCCGCTGTGTAAGATGCTGCTGATGGGGGACTTGGGTGAAGGATCTGAGGCCGTCCCGGTGCTATCTTTGCAACTAACTATGAATCTTTGATTATTTCAAAGCAAAAAAAAAAAAAAAAAGAAAGAAAGAAAAAGAAAAACAAGTCAGGAATTACACCTTTTTACATTTAAAGCCTTTATACATTTTTTACATTGTAATTTTATAATTTTAATTAGGCGTTTTTACATTTTAAACATTTATTGTGTTTAGAGGCAGGCAAAAAAAATGGATCTAAGCAGTTAGAAGCCAGGGTCAAGGCTCCTCCCAGTGTAGCTGTGACCTCAGTGGGCACAGGGGACTTCTGAGTTCACGGGTGTTCTCCTTGGCCTGGGGCTGGTTCCATGGCCATGTTCAAGTAGTAATTCATGGGAGCGTACACTTAGCAGTTTTTAGCTTTTCTGTGCTGCTGCGAAGTTAGAATGTATCCACTGAAAAGAGCACTTGGCTTTCTACGGGTTACCTGTGAATATGCATGGATGAGTGTTCTAGAAGGCTGCATGCGAGTGCTTCCTTTGCAGAGGGAAGTTGGGACGTGGAGGCATAGGGGGAGTCCTACTTTTATTTTGCGCTCTGCTGTGCTGTTGGGATTCAAAGCACCACTCACTGCAGAGCCTGCTCAGGCCCCTCCCCCGTCTGGGCCCCTCCTGGACCCGGGCTGGCTCTCTGCTTCACTCACCGCAGCCTGAGCACGGGGCCTTTATGCCTGCCGCCAACAGCGTCTAGACAGCTGCGAGCTGCATGGGTCATTCAATCAATCCTGTGGCTTTTCTCCAATGCAAGTGCTTTCTTGGAACGGCAGGGCTGCCCGGCTGCACCCCGGGCAGAGCCACAGGCAGGTGGGCATTCTTCCGTCCTGGTTCTGTTGGATAAATGACGATATTCCTTCCTCCAAACCATGCCCGTCCCAGAGACCGGCCCTCACCTCACCTGCGGGGCACACCTGCCAAGCCCGGCCCCTTCAGTCCACTTACAGAGCCCGAGTCTTCCTCAGAGTCACGCCTTTTCCCGGAACTCTTGGGTGGAGCAGAGAACGTGACCTTTGGAGCCACACAGATTCAAGTCCTGATGACTCCCCAGCCTTGATGGAAGCCCAGGCACTCCCTCCCCCGCGCTGTGAGGCGGAATGTGGTGCTAAGGCCTGATTGGTCAGCATCAGCTCCTTTCCCTGGGCTCCAGCGCCTCCTTCCTGCCTGTTTCATCCTAAAGTGATCAAAAACCACTCCTCTTCCAACTACTCAACCAGTACAGACCTCGCTTGTTGCTATTTTATACCTGCTCCCATCTCAACTTCATCGTAAACTCATGGGGGCCAGACATCACCCCGGCGCCCTCCGGGCCCCGCCCTGCCTCTTACACACAGTAGGTCTGCGTAGATGTTGTTGGAGGCACCAGCTGTCTCGCATGTGCTGATGCTCAGGCCATGGGAAGCAGCCAGTGTCAGGCGTAGCGGAAGTTCAGAGCACAGACAACCCTACACACGCCAGCCCAGCATCGTTCAGACCTTCCTCTTCTTGGACATGGGGAGACCTGCAAATTCAGGGCCATTTGACACCTGTGTGTGACAGCCACTGGCTAGTTTTGTGTCCTTGGGAAAGTTACGAAACCTCTCTGAACGCCCGTGTCCTTGTTGGTACTTTAACTCCCTTCAGTACCTGGACAGCTGGGATGAAACGGGCTCAGGTGTTCGTCCCGTGTGACCCCTGTCCTTTGTTTGCCCCGGGCCACCAAGTCAGGAATCCACTGTGAGCTGCCGGAGCCTCTCCACTCCTGGTTTCAGGGCTGCATGTTGCCCCGTGGGTCACACACATGCGTGGATCCCTTGCAGGATGGCTCTTCTCGGGGCCTGGCTGCCTTCCCTCTCTCTGTGAGGTTCGCAAGCTTGTGGGAGACGGCAGTGAGCTCTGGCGTGACACTGGGAGGGGACACTCACACGTCCCTGACCTCATGCAGTACACGCTCAGGTGTCCTGCTGTAAGGTAGAAATGGCACGGGAGCTGCAGATGTAATTCCAGATCTCCTAGTCGCTGCTTTAAAGAGACACAGATGGGTGAAATGTTAATCTACTATTGTTGAAGGTCAATATGGAGGTCTCTGACTTAGGATGGTTTGAATCCTAATTTTTTTTACTTTGCAATGGTGTGAAAGCAACGCCCATTCAGATAGAGAATTTTGACCTTGGGTCTTGTCCTGGGCCAGCATCCTGTGGTCGGATGGTCTCTGGCAGTGTTGGGCACTGGCACCAGGCACAGCTCCCAGTCAGTCTGCAGTCCTGGGGGGAACAGTGGTGCCACATTGCTGCCTTTTTCTGGACATGGTTATTCAGTAAATTATCTGAAGTGTTCAGCAGTTCATTATACATAGGCTCACGTATGTGTTCTGGGCGTGCTGAAGGCAGGCTGTGCTAAGCTCTGATTATGATTTTCAGTAGTTGGGCGTATTAAATGCATTTTCAATTTGTACTGGTTTTTTTAAGATTTATTTATTTATTTATTTGAAAGGCAGAGTTACAGAGAGGCAGAGGCTGAGAGAGAAAGTGAGGTCTTCCATCTGCTGGTTCATTCCCCAAATGGCTGCAAAGGCCGGAGCTGGGCTGATCTGAAGCCAGGAGCCAGGAGCTTCTTCTAGGTCTCCCATGTGGGTGCAGGGGCCCGAGGACTTAGGCCGTCTTCTACTGCTTTCCCAGGCCACAGCAGAGAGCTGGATGGCAAGTGGAACAACTGGGTCTCGAACATGGGATGCTGGCACTGCAAGTGGTGGCTTTACCCACTACACCACAGCACCAGCCCCAACTTGCACTATTTTCAAGTAATGATGGGTTTGTTGAAGCTGGGCCCCATGGTAAGCCACAGAGCATCAGTATGTATATTTAAAAAAAAAAAATCACTGGTTGGAGGGCGGTGCTGTGGCATAGTGAGTAAAGCTGCTGGCTGTGATGCCGGCATCCCATGTGGGCACCGGTTCGAGTCCCGGCTGCTCCTCTTCTGATCCAGCTCTCTGCTATGGCCTGGGAAAGCAGCAGAAGATGGCCCAAGTCCATGGACCCCTGCCCCTGCATGGGAGACCCGGAAGAAGTCCTGGCTCCTGGCTTTGGATCAGCATAGCTCCAGCCGTTGTAACCAATTGGAGAGTGAACCAGCAGATGGAAGATTCTCTCTCTCTGTGTCTCTCTATCTCTCTCTCTGCCTCTCCTCCTCGCTCTGTGTAACTCTGACTTTCAAATAAATAAATAAATCTTTAAAAAAAAAATCACAGGGGCTGGCACTGTGTTGTAGCATGTAGAGCTGCTGCCTGTGTTGCTGGTTCCCATGTGGGCGCCGGTTCATGTCCTGGCTGCTCCACTTCCAATCCAGCTCACTACTGGTGGCCTAGGACAAGCAGTGCAAGATGGTCCAAGGGTGTGGGTTCCTGTCACCCATATGGGAGACCGAGATGAATCTTCTGGCTGCTGGCTTTGGCCTGACTCAGCCCTGGCTGTTGTGGTCATTTAGGGAGTGAACCAGCAGATGAAGACCTCTCTCTGTTTCTCTCTGTCTCTCTCCCCCTCCCTCCCTCCCCACACCCATCTGTAACTCTGCCTTCCAAATAATTAAATAAATTTTTTTTACAAAAGTCATTGAGGTGGGGCAGGCATTTAGTCTAGTGGTTAGGAAACTGAATACAGCCAGTGCCTGGGTTTGATTCCCTGCTGCGGCTCCTGACTCCAGCTTCCTGCTAATCCAGACCCTGGGAGGCGGGGGTGATGGCTCAGGTAGGTGGGTTAATGCTGCCCACACGGAAACCCGAATTGAGTTCTAGGCTCCTGGTTTTGGCTTGGCCCAGCCCTGGCTGCTGCAAGCATTTGGGAAGTGAACCAGTGGGTGGGAGCTCAGTATCTCAAATACATTTAAAACCGTTTTTAAGAATGATTATTTTAGGGTGTGATCAATGCAACAGTATTGATGAGAACACTTTCCTGTTTTATACACGGTCTTTGAAATCGCTTGCAAGTTCCCACCCTGCACCTCGGACCATGCGTGAGCCGCATTTCACGTGTTCCACGGCCACGGTGCTGCCGCCCTGGGCAACAGGGCCCCAGCCTTGCCCCAGGGCTCGGGGAAGCACTGGAAGTCGGTTCTCTTCCAGCTCCAAGCAGAACCTGCTCACAGCAGCCCTGTGCTCTTTATCCCAGGTCCAGCTTCTGAGCCTCTGTGCCGCCCACGGGGACCTGGAGATGGTCCGGCATCTCCTCACCGAGAGGCAGGTGCAGCTGCCGACGGAGCCCACCGACGACAACCCGGCCGTGGTGGCGGCCCACTTCGGCCACACTGAGGTCGTGCAGGAGTTGCTTGAGTCCTTACCAGGTAACTCACAGGGCGGGAGCTCCCTGGCACCTCTCGGGAGCCCCCAGGTGCTCATCTGGGCACTTTCAGCCACGACACAACAAGGACTCCGGGGCGTCCAGCTGACAAGTCCAAGGGCACACAGCAGAGGGCGTCTCACACCTCACTGCCATTCACTCACCAGGGAAGTTCTCGGACGTTGTGCTGGATAAACCGTACACACATGTGGCATTTTCTACTTCGTGGCCTGTTTTTATAAAGCAGTTGGAGTTTTACAGAGAAATTGAATGGGACGTACAGCATTCCCGTGTCTCCCCCACCCCTGTTTGCCCTTTGATTTACAATTTGTGTCCGTGTGAGAAACCAGCTTGGATGCATCACTACAGACTGAAGCCCGAGCTTTACTTAGGGCTTATTCTTTGTTCGTGGGCTCTGAAATGTTTCTAAGGACATAGCCACCACCACGGCATTGTACAGAATTTCACTGCCCTGCAGGTCTCCGGTTCCCATCCTACCCGTCTGTTCCCCCACTCCTGACCCTTGGCCACCCCTGGGGTACAGATGGAGTGAGGCGGGGAGGAGCCTGGGCACCCAGGAGGAGCCCACAGCTGACCCCCTGCTCAGGGCTCCCCAGGACTAGCTCTGTTCTAGCCCCCGAGAGTCCGTGCCGGCCGACTCCATCACCCTGTGCAGCTGCCATTTGCGGAAACCTCGCCAGCACAGAGAATGTTCTCGAGGGTGATCCAGCCCTTCAGTAGCCCCCGGCCACGCAGGGGAAACTGTGACAGAGAGCAGTGACTCTGGGCAGTGTAACCATCTTTACACGGAGGTCCCGGCACACGCATCAGGGGATGTTCTCATCCGGAAGCAGGACCGGGGAGAGAGGCTGACGTCTGAGCGGGGCTTTGCCGCATGAATAGAAGTTTACTTGGCACACAAGCAACGGAGGGCTTGGATCAGCTTGCTTTTGCTGGGCTGACCTCAGCGTGTTTTTCAGCTGGTCTGGGGCATCCAGGCAATTCTGGGGGCTGAGGGATTCCAGAGCGTTGGGCTGGCCCCTCCAGGAAGGGCAGAGGTGGGCGAAACAGTGGGTTCTCTCTGGGTGTTCCCAGGCGAGCAGCCAGGCGGCCATGGTCAGGGGTCGGTAAGCCTGGAAGGCAGGAGCGAGGCAGCTGGAAGAGGAGTGATGAGGTTGATGGGCGGGTCCCGGACGCCCCTCCCCTGCAGCTCTCATCCTGCCCCTGGTCAGGAAGGAGGCAGGCAGAGGTGCGCCTGGGGACCCCTCTCTGTGCTGTCGGCTTTAGGCCTTGGAGAAACCATGCAGGGCCCCTGGGTGGTGAGAGAGCGCCCTTCGGTTTTAGCCAAAGCAGAGAGGGAGGCCTCGCTCAGCCAGTTACCACTGGGAGGACCTGCGGGAGGACCAGCGGGAGGTTTCTAGACCTCTCTGAGCCATGGTTCTGCCAGGGAGTCCCTGCCTCCTGAGACCGGCACAGCCGCGTCCCAGCTGAAGCTGGGGTCGTGAGCCCTGTGCTTCCTGCTCCTGGGCCTCCTAGCAGTGAAGGAACGGGGGTCACCTCCGAGTGGTTCCGGGTCACCTCCGAGTGGTTCCTGCGGTTCACAGCAGTGGGAGAAGGAGGGGCGTTCACTCAGCTCAGGCTGCGTGCCAGGTCCTGCTTCCTGGCCAGTGACCCATCATGGCGGGAAGGAGGCTCTGTCCACGTTCGGGAACCCTGTAGTCCCTGCGGGCTTTGTGCCTGTGCGGACGGGAAGCGTCAGTGCAGAAGCTGAGGTCATTTGTCCATGGCAGCCAGATGCAGACGCTGCACGCTTCTGCCCACGCTGTCCCCGTCCAGTCAGTGTGCTGAGTGTTAGAGCACCCCGGGACTAAGGTGGTGGTTCTTTTAGGAAGGGATTCTAAAAGTCTTAGGCTCGAGGCCGGTGCTGTGGCCTAGCAGGTAAAGCCGCCGCCTGCAGTGCTGGCATCCCATGTGGGCGCCAGTTGAGTCCCGGCTGCTCCTCTTCTGATCCAGCTCTCTGCTATGGCCTGGGAAAGCAGCAGCAGATGTCCCAAGTGCTTGGGCCTCTGCTTCCACGTGGGAGACCCAGAAGTGGCTCCTGGCTCCGGATTGGCTCATCTCCAGCCATAGTGGCCATCTAGGGAGTGAACAGGTGTCTCTGTTCTCGCATTGCCAGTGGGTAAACTGAGGCATACAGAGGTGAAGAGATTTGTCCAGAATTACAGGGCTAAAATATTTCAACCCAGATCCGCCCGTCTCCCAAGCCCTGCTCCTGTGTGTGAAACTTGCCCTCAGGGCGGGCGGGGTCAGGGCTGGGGGATGAGGACAACAGCGTGGGAACCTGCAGAATCCGGCTGCCCACGGAGAGCCCCGCAGCACTGGTTCTTTCTAGCCCTACTTCACACCTGTATTTCCTGGGCAGTTGGCATCATTGGACAACCAGGGGGTGGACACCAGGGGCAAATGTCAGAGGCTATTCCGAGGGGCTGTTCCCGCCACACCGTGCGCCCTGCAAAGGCGATGACTTTCAGCTGCAAACGGGACGCTTGGTGCCGGTGGGTAGCAGTCAGAGGGTCGTCGTGGGAGCCACCTGGACGCTCCGTGACACTCTCCCTCCCTCCCGCCTCTCCCGCCAGCCCCCTGCAGCCCCCAGCGCCTGCTGAACTGGATGCTGGCCTTGGCTTGCCAGCGGGGCCACCTGGGCGTCGTGAAGCTCCTGGTCCTGACGCACGGGGCCGACCCCGAGAGCTACGCGGTGAGGAAGAATGAGTTCCCCGTCATCGTGCGCCTGCCCCTCTACGCGGCCATCAAGTCAGGTGGGTCCCGCCCGCGGCAGCCTCGCCCTGGCGGCCGCTGGGGTTTCCGGACGAGGCAGCCCTCACCCATGGTTCTCCAGTGGCTCCTGTCTTCTGTTTTTCTTTCAAAATCCCTGCAGCCTGCCTTCATCATCCCACTCACCCCTTGCCAGGGCACTTTGCGACAGGAAGCAGCCGTGGCCCTGGGGAGGGACCCCTGCCTGAGGCTCTGCGGAGGGTGGAGTCCCACAGGTGCATTTTGGGAGGTGACAGAGACCCCACCCCCAGCCCGGCCCAGCTTCTACTGTGGATCTCAGAGGCTCAGCCCTGATGGCCCTGCCTGCCTGCTCTGTCCTGTTAGGCAATGAAGACATCGCCATCTTCCTGCTTCGCCATGGGGCCCGTTTCTGCTCCTACATCCTCCTGGACAGCCCCGACCCCAGCAGGCACCTGCTCCGGAAGTACTTCATCGAGGCCAGCGCGCCCAGCGGCCACCCGGGGAGAATGGTGAGTCATCACTGCCCATGGGTGGCTCGGTCTGCTGCCACAGAGGTTTCCTGAGCTTTGTCCCCAAATGGGTTAAATATGCCGTAGTCTTTCACAGCTGATGTTTTTAATTTTCTTTTTGACATTAAAATTAGCAAAGTTTCCCTTGACGGGGGCTCATGTGGCCTCGCAGCGCAGTGACCAGTTAAGATGCCCTTGGCTCATCTGGAGCACCTGGGTCCAGTTCCCAGCTCCGCTCCTCACTCCAGCTTCCTGCTAGTGCAGGCCCTGGGAGGCTGCACTGATCGGATTCCTGCCACCTGTGCGGGAGACCTGGAGGAGTTCCCAGTGCTGCCTCTGGGCCTGGCCACCGCAGGCACCGGGGGAGAGAACCAGCAGATGAGAACTGTGTGTCCACCTGCATCTCTGCCTCTCAAGTAAATAAATTTCAAAATGTATAAGTTACCCATACTCAGTATAACTGGTGAAAACAATGGGGAGCGGTAATAGACATTTTGAATCTGCCCCTGAGAAGTAAATGATTTAATAACCCAGTAATGATCTGATAGACAAAGCTATAGACACATTTATAAACCTGTGCGAGGTTTAGTTTTCCACTGGTTCTCCCCAAATGGCCACAGCAGCCAGACCAGGGCCAGGCAGGAGCCAGGCGCTGTTCCAGGTCTCCCACATGGGTGCTCTGCTGCTTTCCCAGGCCATAGCAGGGATCTGGATGGGAAGTGGAGCAGCCGGGACTGGAACCCATGCCCATATGGGATGCTGGCGTCACGGGTCGTGGGTTTACCTGCTGTGCCGCAACCCCAACCCTAGGTTGTTCTCCTTCTGAATACCAAAATAGTTATTAAAATATACTATTTGTATTACCTTCAGCTTGGCTCTTAAAATCCAGTGCCCTCTTGTAGACACCCTGAGATCAGTGGATGTGGCACAGGTACGTGCCTGGACGCCCTGGTGCCAGTGCTGCTCCAGGGGCTCCTCTGGCCAGTTCTGGGGTCGTCCCTGCAGCACAGCCCGGCTGCCTGCCTGGGCTCTGTTTGCTTATGGAGATCTGCGCCTAACTGGGGGCTGCGCCCAGTACTGTGGTGATTGGCAGCTCAGCACGGGACCTGGGATCCCGCCCCTGGGCCAGCGGTCGCTGCCCGGCACCTGTACTGGGTCTGATGGCGAGACTGATGTCTGATAAGTGTTTGCATTTCCATGCTTTTCTGGTTAACAGCGCCCGGTGTCTCCATCCGCTTGTCAGCATTTGCATTCCTGCGCGTGAGCTGCCTGTTCACGTCCCCGTTACTTTCTGAAGGGTGGTCGGTCTCCTTCTCACTTTGGAGACCTTGTGGTACGAGAGGGAGTGAAAACCTTTGTTTGTTGTATTTGTTGCCTGTGCTTTTCCCAGTCCACTGTTTTCCTTCGTCTGTTGCCTTTTGCGATGACAAAACCGCGGGAATCTAAATTCAGATAGTTGCACCCCCAGAACCCCCGTGATAACACCACCTGGGCATGCCCAGGTCCCTCCTGCACAGTGGCCCGGTGTGGGCGTGGAACCTGGGGCGTCCCCAGATTCCTCCCAAGGCCTCACGGGATGTAAATGTGTGTGAGCGGTTGTCAGCCGAGTTGCTGGATCGCGGCGAGAAAAGCACTGTACGTGTTAGTGCAGCCGCAGTGTCTGATGCCAGGCACTGCAGTCCGCCGTGGTCGCGCCCACGGCCGGCAGAGGAGACCCGCAGACCCCAGGTGGGGGGGGGGAGGGCTGCAGGTGCAGAGGCAGACCCCCAGGTGGGGGAGGGCGGATGCAGATGCAGAGGCAGACCCCCAGGTTGGGGGGGCGGCTGCAGGTGCAGAGGCAGACCCCCAGGTGGGGGAGGGCGGCTGCAGTGGCAGAGGCAGACCCCCAGGTGGGGGGGAGGCTGCAGGTGCAGAGGCAGACCCCCAGGTGGGGGGGCGGATGCAGGTGCAGAGGCAGACCCCCAGGTGGGGGGGAGGCTGCAGGTGCAGAGGCAGACCCCCAGGTTGGGGGGCGGCTGCAGGTGCAGAGGCAGACCCCCAGGTGGGGGAGGGCGGCTGCAGGTGCAGAGGCAGACCCCCAGGTGGGGGGGAGGCTGCAGGTGCAGAGGCAGACCCCCAGTGTGTGTATGTGGTGGGCTGCAGATGCCCCTCAGGCCTTTAGAGTTGACCATTTGCTCGTTTCCATCTTTCGGCTCCACTCTCAGCTCATGGCTGCACTGTTCAAGCCCTCGAGGTGCGGCCTCTTTGTGTTAGCTCTCTTTACCAGGATCTGGAATATAGAGATGGGGATATGTGTGCCCTACAGACATACACATGTACCTGTGTGCATGCTTGCATCATACGGATACACAAGTGGGCCTGTGTACATACATGCATCCTACAGACATACACCTGTACCTGTGTGCATACGTGCATCCTACAGACATACACCTGTACCTGTGTACACACATGTATCCTAGACATACACCTGTACCTGTGTACACACATGTATCCTACAGACATACACCTGTACCTGTGTACACACATGTATCCTACAGACATACACCTGTACCTGTGTGCATACGTGCACCCTGCAGACACACAAGTGGGCCTGTGTACACACATGCGCCCTACAGACATACACATGTACCTGTGTACATGCATGTGCCCTGCAAACATAAATGTGTACCTGTGTACAAACATGTACCCTGCAGACACACAGATGTAGTGTACATGCGTGTACCCTATGGACACACAAGTATACATACATGCACCTACACACATGTGTACATGTGTACAAACATGCAGCCTGCACACACACAGATGTAGTGTACATGCGTGTACCCTACGGACACACAAGTGTACATACATGCACCCTACACACACGTGTAGCTGTGTACATACGTGAACCCTGCACACACACATGTGTACCTGTTTTTGTACATCTATGGGTAGTTCCCGCTTCTACTGACTTCTTTTTCTCTGATTCTAATGTTTCTAGAAGGCTTTGGGCCCATGCACGGTGTTGCGCTGTATGCCCACGAATACGATGTTCGTTTTGTCAGATGGCAGCTTCCGTCCCGTGGGTGCCTCTGGCGGGGTCTGCTCCCCGCGGCCTCCTGTCTGCGTCAGCCTCGCACACTTCCAGGCTTGACTCCCAGGCTCTCTCTGTCCCGGGTGCGTTTTTGCCTGTGAGTTCCGTTTTCCCCACGAATCTTCGGAGAGCAGAATGCACCCACTCCACCTTGTTGGCTTACTCCTTGTAAGTTATATCTATTGCTTCTGCCCGTCTCGCTGATTTCCTGGTTTTTTAAGTTTCTAGGAGTCCCATATGCAGCCGTGTGTGAGAACCACAGGTCCACCTGGGAGGCACAGTTGAGAGATAGTGAGATGGGGAATAATAATAACAACAACAACAACAACAACCAGTGTTCAGGCAACACCCACGCTAATTAAATCCAAATCTTTGCAGCTGGACCTGACGTCAGGTGTTCCGAGTCTTCCCTGGGTGATTCCAGCACACAGCCAGGTGGAGAGCCGGTGGCTGGGGTTTTCTTGGCATAGATTAAAAGCTGGAGCAGCCAGCATCCCTGTCTCGGATCTCTTCCTGCTGTGTGTGCCAGGGTTGGCACAGAGCACGCAAGTGATTACTGGGTGTTGTGAAGGAGAAGGCAAAGAGCGGGCAAAATTACTTTCCCTCTCTTGGCTGTCTTGGCGGAATTAGAAGAGGCAATGAGATTTCAGTACAGCCCGACGCTAAGAACTCCTGGGCTTCCCCAGAGCGAGCGGCATGTTCGGGATTCAAGTGCGTTTCGAGAGCAGGTGTCTGGGGCTGGGCGTGGCTGCTGCCTGGCGCCGCTGCACCTGCCGGCCGCAGCACATCTATTCTGTGCTGCTAGCACCAGAGAGACGCAGGGGGCAGCCCGGGGACAGTGACTCGGGGGCCAGAGGGAAGTTCTCCTGCCTCTCCAGGCAGCCAGGGCACGGAGCTGACCCTGTCCATTCAGAATAGTCGATCAGGGTGGACTTTCGCCAACATGGTCTGTGGCCGGGAGCATCCCTTTAACTTTGCTAGCACTCACGGCAGCGGCCCCAGCAGAGCACACGTGATGCAGGTTGTGTCCAGTGCCGGCATGGCGGGTTGTCAGAGCCACAGGCGGCATGTTGGGGTGATCATCTTGGCTTTTGTGTGTACTCTCGCCCCTCTCCCACGAGCTGGTCGGGTTGATAGGGTGGTTGCTGTCTCCACGGAGGCCGAGGCTAGGGCAGGCAGAGTGGCCCCCGCTGGGGTTCTGGGTCACGCAGCTCCTGGTTCTCAGGCTCCCAGAATCCACCTGTGCCGTGGAGCAGCAGAGTGGCCCATGCTGGCATCCTGTGGGTGGCAGCTGTCTGTGTGGGTTTTGTTGGTGTTTGGGTAAGGAAGGTTCTAGAAGTCATAGTGCCTGGTCTGGACACAGTAAGGCAATGGGACCTGGCAGAGCCGGCCCGCTGGCTGACCAGTGGCCCCGTGGAAGCAGCCCAGGGTCACCTGTGTTCATGGGGCGCATCCCATCCTGGGTTGTGGGAGGAGCGGCTGGGTGCTTCCACACTGTCACACCCAGAGAGGAGCAGTAGTGCTCAGAACTGTCGGGAGAGGCCCAGTCGGGTCCCGGGAGAACCACGACGTGTGTCCCTCGCCGGCAGCTGGAGGCCCGAGCCCGGGCTCACCCAGGCTGTTTTGAATGTTGGAAGTAGATGAGAGCTGAAACTCATCTCAAAAACCACTCACCGGGGAAACGACTGACAATTTCAAGTCTGGCAGCTGCCCGAACGGGAGAGGGACCAGGACAACGCTTCCTGCATCAGCTCAGGTTTCTGCGGCTTAGCGGCTCCCGGTGACCCCACCGCTCACGTCCCCAAGCCCAAACACAGCCACCCTGGCCACTGGTTTCCAGGACCCACGCAGGTCCTGGCCTGTCCGCGTGACACAGAGCAATGGGCGTCTATACTACAGGACAGCTAGACAGGGGTGGCCGCGGCCA